GCTGGCTCATACAAAAACACGGCAAGCCTAGGTGTATGACTATACCATATGCTCAAGCCCACAGACCAGGGAAAAACAAAAACAATCTGGTTTTATTCACACAAAAGCCTCAGAAGCTGCTGTGTTAGGCGACCATATTTCTTAAGTCTGACTTCGTTTAAAAGCAGAGCTGAAATCCAAGCTATTTCACAAAATGCTACGAAATTAAGTGTATGTGAGAAATTCCACAGCTGTAAGTTTACGGGTTTGGAGGAGCAGAACTAAAGGGTGGAGTATGAGTGCTGGGCTGCTCTTTCCTGCTGCACAGGAGGATCTTTATCACTAGATCAGCAGCAGCACTTTGGCCTGCCTCCAACTGCATATTTCCACAGCAACCTCCTTGGACTCAGGAAAGGCTTCGAGTTTCCTGAAGGCAGAGGCACTGAGTAAGGGCCCCTCTGCAGATCTTTCCTCTGTGCCCAAACAGCCAAACTCAACTAGTTCTAGCCTGTCCTGTGCTCTCTCCACATGAACAGACACTGCTCCCATAGAACAAGACGCAACAGAGCAAAATCTGAAGGGAACAAAAGAATCAAAACATATGGAAAAATGTTCAGAACTGTTGATGTACGTACTAGGGTTGATCTTAATTGTCCTGCTCTGCTCAGCAATAACTTACATTTCAGTAAAATAATGCCAAATTAGAAAAGAAGCATTTTAAACTGATTTAAAACCTGTTTTAATGATTACCTGCTCATTTTAATGTATGCACAAAGCAAGGAGGTTTAATTAATTACCTTTCAAAGTTTTCCTGTATGTTTTCTTGCTCTGAAACCCTTTATTTCACCACTGGGAGTTAGAATTCTTTCCTGCTCCTCTTAGTCCCCCACCACTAGCTTCCCACAGAGAATGTGTCATTCTTATCAACAAAGATTAAACAGGGAGACATAAATCCAGCAAAATTTGACATGCACGTGAAAGAGGGAATATAGGCAAATTACAGAATCAGTCTGCTCGCAGACAGTGATGGATCTGAATTCCTCCATTTAACTTGTAAAATGAAGGGGAAAATTTCCTACTGTTTTAAAAACTAGAGACATATTGGTTCCAGCTGCCACTGATCCTCCTGTTCTGTAGTAAGGCCATCAAGCAGGATGAAACAATTCAGTATTTTGACACTGGATACTGAACAGCTGCACCCCATTTTCAAATGCAACAAAATACAGCAGCACAGCTAAGCTGCACCAGGAATTGGGGATGAGGATCACATTTTAAGTTTCTTTGCAGTCTGTATGATAGAACTTCTGAGAACAGAACAGTACAAATACCTGGTTTTGGTCATATTTATTTTTCTAGTAGACCCTGAAGCAATGCAATTTCACCTCTGTATGCTCTTTGCCTCCCCTGCTGCCCAGAGTAGTCCTCTGGAGCACACCTGACACTGGCATCGGGCAACCACCTGCAGAACACCCAAAGGAAACCTGCAGTTAAAAATTTTGGTCTAGTACTGAAGCTATTCAGAAAGGATTCCCAAACTTTGGTAGTTTTAGGTAGAATGGCACTGAAAACATCTGATTTTCTAGGCATGTCCAAGAACATAACGACTACCCTACTAGCCCAGACTGAAGATTCCCCATGTACTATATCTTGCCATCCTACAAGTAAAGCCTTCTTCAAAAGAGCAAGTAAATGATGATACTCCTCCACAACAGCCTTCCAGATTCTCCCTGCTCAGAGCTCAAGGACTTCCAGGCCAGAGGAATTGTCTCTTCAGCTCCCCTGAAAAGCCTACTGCTTGAGCACAAGCACCGTGTAATCTGGAGACAGAGCTCCCAGTGGACCAGGATCTGGTCACTCACTGAGAACTGTGCCTCACATCCATGGTCAGTCTGATGACACCAGGAGTGCCAGACCCACTGTATTCCTATGATAATGCATCTGCAGGCAAAGACTGCTCATGGATTTCTAGACACCCAAGAAAATGAAATCCTGCTGCTTCAACTAGTCTGTTAGGAAAAAAAAAAAAAACCAAACAAAACAACAAACCAAAAAAAAAAAAAACCCTTTGGAACTGTTCAAGCTGTTCAAATTCAAGTACAAGGCAATATGTCCAAGTGATTAAACAGCACATGGAAAATGTTTTTTTTGTACACGCACACACACAGATCCATAAACACACCAGAGCTACAGTGACCCTCCTAGCTGTGTGCAGAGACATGCACTTCAACAAAAAAGCCTCACTTATTTTTTCAATTCAAACTCAAATTCTGTCCTTCCAGCTTCAAAGAAAAAAGAATCCATCACTTTAAACATTCAGAATCTACTTCTGTAGTAAACATACTAATAGCAAAACATGTAATCTGAGGCAGGCTATGGAAGGATGTTCTTAAAAATATTTTTGGAAAAACTGAGAAAAACCTCCCCCTTTTGTAAGGCTACTTAACAAGTCACAGAATCATAGAATGTTTGGGTTGGAAGGGACCTCCAAAGGTCATCTGGTCCAACCTCCCTGCAGTAAGCAGGGACACCTCCAAAATAGGTCAAGCTGTGCAGAGCCTCATCAAGCCTGACCTTGAATGTCTCCAGGGATGAGGCCTCCTCCAGTAAGTCACCAGTAAGGTCATGACTTACTCTCCCAAAGACAGTAAAATTGCATCAAATGTACTTCTAGTTTACTAGCAAACCACCAGAGAGAAATATAGCCAGGGTATCAGAGTCAAATTTTCCACTAATCTCTTTCTGTTTGGCTAAGCAACCAAAGTTTGGATTCACAGTGTATTCAGATTTCTTGCTCCCACAAGCATTAGTGGACTGGATTCAGTCATTAGGCCATCCAGCTATCATCAATCACTCCTCAGCTTTCACCCTCTGCTCCACACTAAAACCAGACAAATCCTCCTGCTCAATTCAATGTCATTTTTTTCATGCTCCCTGGCACACATCTGACCAGCAGTTCAGGTACACATGCCTGAACTGTCAGTAACTAGAGAGCACACAACCAAAAAATGCTGAGACAAGGGCAGTACCATCAACAAGTCTGCAAAGGAACTGTTTGAAGGAATTATTTAAACTATTGACCCCCATTTGGTACCATCTGCAGCTGCTACTTCCATGCTTGCTGCTTGCTCCTTTCAGAATGATTAGCTTTTGCAGGGACACGGTATAGGACACACCTCAGTTTTTTATCACCTTCAAAACCTTCTTTTACTGGAGTCATCTATCAGTGTTCTTTGACCCAGCCTTTCAGGCCCGATGCTCTCCCACTGACACAGTAAATGTATTAGTAATTTAAATGTCCTGTGTGCTGACTACAAGCATCCCAAACATAAAATGCAGGTTTTCCTGGTCCCAAAGTCAGTGTTAACATTTTTGTCCCTTAGTGTTCTGCAGCTGAACTTCCCCCCCCCCCCTCAGTGGAGATACCATCTGCATTCCACAAACATGAAAGGTTGATAACCCTTGTGCTAGGAATTAAGTTGCACTTTTTGGCAGCTCTACTGACCATTCTGTTATACCTGGTCCCCACCTTCACCTTCCACAATGTCAGCTATCCACAGAATCAAGCTGTCAGCCTGGTCCACAAGCAATCTGAAATCAAATAATTTTTCTGGGACATTTTTCAGACAGGATTACATTTGCAGGAGGCTCCACGTTACAGCCACGAGCTGACTGACTAAAGCCAAACATGAAATTCTCTCTTTGGTGAACTACCCAAAACCACACCCCAAGAGAGCAAATCTGCAGACAGTCTATAAACACTCACCTCATCTCACTCCCAGTTCTGAGCCACAGACTCCAGTTTCCTACAGGAAGCTGCACCCCAGCCTGTAACTCTAACCTGTCTGCCAAGGAGACACTCAAGTTCAAGTCCTTCACTACCCTCAGAACAGTCAGAAGCTACAATATTCATCTCATGCTCAGACCAAACAACATGTGCTCTACCAGTTTAATACAGACTATCTTTGTTTGCTACAATTACTATGTTGCAAAATACAGATTAATTCTTCCTACAACTATTTTGAAGTCTCCCCATGACACATTTACCTTGGTAAAAGATTTTTTTTTACTCGGCACACAGAACAAGAGGGTTGTACCATGGAGCAGAGAAGAAAGTTTGGTGATGACAAAGAACTAGGACGATGATCACTTTCCCTTGCTCACTGAATATTCAGGTTTCTCTGCAGATGGAAATTCGCTTAAAACATGTAATTTTACCCCATTAGCTGTACTGATGTAATTACCTGTGAGGCCAAATTCAGGATCTAATGGCTACATCTTACACTGTTGACCCAAAAGTCTTTTGGTAAAAAATAGTTTTTCCATCTAGAAGTGCTCAAGAGGCGAGAGGTACATAAAGCATTTGATTGTTTTCCCCCAGTGGTTGGGCAGATTCTCTTCTCTTAGAGGTCACAGACCACTTATTTTGGTATTGAATAAAGCCATCACAGATAGAGGAATCATTAAAAATTCCATTCAATCCATGTTCTGACCTTGGTGTTTACACCCACCAATAGCTATCACATCCAGCATGGACAACTCTGAATTGCTATTGTGCCGTCTTCACACCATCCAGCACTCCTCACAAGATCCTTCATCAAACATTCGAACAGTTCAACAAACAAAACACAAAATCACAAACATCCCCATCTTTAAAGCTCCATCTCAACATGACGAAGTCACCTACTGCGCATTACTTGGGAGGGATACTTCATCATCCTTCTGTAGGATCTGTGAATGGCTACAAATTCTGACAATCAAATCACTTCCATATTATTTGCTTAAGTATTTGCTGTATGTATCTATTTAAAGGTATGTACAAGGGCGGTGTGCTTGTCCCTGCATTTATGTACACATAAGGTCTAAACTTTGACCTTCCAAACCAGCAGACTGCTGTAGTGGCTCCTGCACAGGAACACACACTCACTGCTCCACAGCCAGACTGTTACCTATGCACACCCTTTTTTTCTTCAGGACTACAGCGATTTTGACAGTGCTGGCAGAGCTTGTGCTGCTGCACTTACCCTGGGTGGGACAGTCTGCAGGGCTGTGATGTAGTTCTCCAGAGCAATGCGGCGACGGTCATTCAGCATGGCTTCCACCCGTGCCATATGAGTCTCCACCAGCTGTTGTCTTTCATTTGCTGCTTCTTGTTCCAGTGATTCCACTTTCTCCTGGAAGTGCTGAAAAAAACATCAATCACAACAGGAAGAGTGAAGGCACCAACAGAGACTGGCAGATGTGAACACCTCTGTGTGCAAATCACCACAATCTTTCCTCCATGTCAGTCTAGCTTAGCTCCCAGGAACTCTGCACTGAATGCACCTTTTACCAATTTCAGTGGAAACTGCTGATGCCCTGTATTCCAGAACATTTGGCCATACTTTATTACTCTAATAAAATCACAGAATGATTTGGGTTGGAAGGAACCTTAAAGATCACCTAGTTCCAATCCCCCTGTCACAGGCAGGGACACTTTCCACTAGACCAGGTTGTGCAAATATCCCTGATATGTTCAGCACAACCACCACTGAAACCTCCTTTTATCCCCTCAGAGAGTGGTTCAGCACTAAATAATGGAACCTAGAGGAGGGTGGAGCTTGGCAAGCACACAACCCCTGCCATGACTTCATGAGCAAATATATATGTGGGGAAAAGAAAAGGCACTATAAATTCTTATGAACTGGCCACCAGGAAGAAAAATTGATCCTAAACTTACTCCAGTAAAGGAAATGATTGACAGAGTAAAATGCATAGAGAGCAAAACTGTGGGATCTAATGTGTGAAGCAATCTGGTTCTGAACATTACCTTTTTATAGTTTTGCACTGAAGTTGTCCCAGCAGTACTGCATAATACCTGACACAGCCACAGTGGGATTCAAGGAGTGTCAGGCTTTCCAGAATTTTTGAATTATAGCATAATTTCTGATAAAATAATTTTTGGCCAAGGTTTTTTTTTCAGATAAAACTGATGGTGATTCCTTCCTTAAATCACATTTTCCGTCTCTGCTTTGAGCTTAGGTCCTGCAGCTTATATTAGTTTATCATGGCCTAGTTTTTGAAAGGGGCCCATGGTAACCAAGTTTTCAGTTCTCAGTGAAGGCAAATCTAAATTCTACCCCTCTGTGTAGTCATGAGCCATGTCCTGCACTGCTGTTCTAGGGACTTGGCTGGAAAGTACAGACACCCAGCAGCCACTAATAGCTGGAAACAAAACAGCAACTGTAAGAGCAGAGGATAACATTAAATCCCTACAGAAGTACATTTTAAAAGTGTACCACATGCAGCACCCCTTATATTTTAACTGCAGCCCCAACTGGTAAGGTTGTGGTTGTGTTTTCCTTTACCTGGATAACAGCTTTCTTGTCAGCCTTTGGCAAGTTCTTTGCTTGGCGTTCTGCCTCTTCCCACTCTCTCATGACCTAATGAACAGAAGGAGGAGTGTGACTTCCATATTTTCCTCTCATCTCAGGCCTTAGCAACAGCCAAGCACAGCAGCTCCAGCAGTTATCTTTTTGTATTGCTCTCCTCCTTTTATCTTGACTAAAGAAGCAGTTACAGCGTCTCAAAGGTAGGATCCTCTTACTAAATGAAACAAAGACAGACGGCCCTTCTGCGTCTGCACATCGTGCCAAGCTCTCACAGCTCCGCCGTGGGGCAACAGGGCTGGTACCCAGCCCCCAAGGGAGGGAAGTGGAGGTCTCCCTGGGTGAACACACCAGCCCCTTTTCATCCCAGACAGAAAGGACTTATCGCTTCCATCTACTGTACAGCCTTGGTCAAAACAAGTGAATTTCAAGTCCTTCCGAAGTGACACTTATTGCGGTACCACAAAAATTTTAGATCACTGGCCTTTGAGTAGGAGAGATCAAGAATTACATGCAATTTGTGCTAGTCTGTCCAGAAACAGGTGTCCAACACTTCCAAGAATTCTTATTTATAATATATTATAAAAATGTTTATATAATTATTATTATAATCTCAAGTACAATACTGACAGAAAAAAGATGCAGGAGAACTTTCAATATCATTCCTTTCAACAACATGAGAGGCCAACTCCTCCTGTAACACCGGGTAGTATTTCAATAGTCAGAGAAGGATTTACTCTGAAGTTGCTGTCCATGACATCCAAAACCTTCTCATGGTGATACATAGGGACTTGACTCATTTCACACCTAGACAGCAGTCTCCTCAGAGAACACATTTTATGCAGCAACAATGGCTCTCACTGAATGCAGTGCACACAGATAAGTGACTGACTTATTTTGCAGTATTAGCACGATGTCAGAAGAAGCCAGGAGAAACTGAGAAGCAATTAATCAAAATGGGCATTTCCTTTCTTACCAAACCCCACACTTTCGTACCATTAAATAGAAACAGTCAAACACATCCTTTCTCAAGCGGATTTTAGAAAAGCTCTCATATATGACTGAATCTTTACCAAGACTGATACCAAAGGCAGGACAAATCAGACCTTCTGTGTCTCATGTCTTCAAGCTGAGCTTCCACCACTGAGCTCCTGTCTCAGGCTCCCCAGTTTTCTCACATAATGGACATTGCTAATCCAGCTCCTTGACGAACAGGACTGAGAGCACTGGTGGTGCCTCAGGAAATCTAGTCAAGCCCGTGCCTTTAAAAAACCCCCACACTACCAAAACTGGGCTCAAAGGAAACTTTTACAAGTCTGAGTCCTTGAACTGTAATCCTCTCTCAGTCCTATACAGGGTTGCAGACCCTAACGATGGACCAGCATGCAGACACCTGCACTCAAGACCAGCTCAACATACGGGATTTTGTTGTCCAGATTCCAGCTTCCTTTTGACCCAAAGTCTGGGAATGTATTTCAAGACAGCTATAGCGCAGTCACAGTAAAACCAGAACAATTCATTATCAGTGAAATTATTTATCTGTAAGAGAGTCTGGCTTCAGTAACAGCCCAAAAGAGTGCAGACATATATTTTGAGAGGCTAAAGTGATGCTGAAAACTTTTAAAGGGGGAAATTGTTTTGCTTGCTTCTGGGTTGCAGCACGAACACGGTTAGACAGCAGTTGCAGAGCACAAAAACCTGAAGTCAAGTACTTACAAAGTCTTAACTTCACTCTGCTCTTTTAATGGGAACTATAAGCTCAAACAGAAGTCCCGAGAATTGTACTACAACCTACATAAACTGGCAGCATAAAGGTACCTCTTCAATTTACAGTATCTTCTCATCAGGCAAATACACACTGATGTGCAAACTGCAGCCAAGCTCTGGGGAGGAACGAATGCAAAATTTGTAAGAGGGCATGAAAACTCATTTGCAAGGAGTTGTAGTAAGCAGCTGACAGAGAACATGAAGCACAGTGCACTGAAGTTAGAGGTGCCCCCCCCTCCAGTTACTTTCCAAGTACTTTGGCACAGGAGGTTTTACTGCTTCTCTGACAGAGAAGAACTAGAGGACATGAACCAACATCACTATTTACATCATCTAAATGTGACATGTTCTAGAAAAAACTCGCTAATGCTCAGAGTGCTCCTGTGCAGTAAGTGCACATATGGTATTCATCTCGCTGTTGTGCACTTCAGTGATAAGGTTGTGGTGGCCAAGAAAACTGAATTCATGTATACACACACAGAGAACCTTTCTGGAGACCTCGAATGTCACTGGTGCAGGACATAAACGTTACAGAAGACCAGGAAGTTACAGCATTAATTCGAGTATGATGTTACTTGGATTACACAATGATGTGCTCAAGCTTGACCATTGGCCTAGGTTAAAAACTTTATTACTTTCTTCTCCCTCCTCTCATTTTATGTCTTCAAAACACATCTCTGACATCTGCTTAATACTCCTTTTCACTCTGAATGACCAGTTGATGGGTTTACAGAGCAAAAGTTCCCTTGCCATCTTTACCCCCCAAATTAACCCCTCTGCTAATGCATATGATGAAAACAAGTATTGTGAGTCATACGATAAGGGGACCTTTGGCTAGACCAAGTCTCTCTGCCTGTTTTATTTCTCTAGGCATTGAAGGCAGGATGATAAATTGACAGCCTATGCAGCTAGTTGGGAGGAATGTAAATTATAGGCTTCAGAGTTCAGCTTGGTGCAATGACAGTGAATGCGTGAATGTGAAAAAAAAAAAAATCATAATGCCATGGCTATTTGCAAAAACAATACCCAATGTAAAGACTGCAGAAGCTGTGCTTTGAGTGATGATTTTTGCAATTGATAAGACTTCAATGGTTGAAAGCACTTCTGTGTATATGCTAACAGAAGATACAGCTGCCCCACAGCTATCCATGGGAAGTTGTGCCACCACTCACGAGAAAATTTCTGCTCCCAGTGAAGGCCACTGGTTTAGAGAAACAGGAGTGACTAAGAAATATGCCATAGCACTGTAGGAAACCAGAGCACAAGGGAAAAAAAAAAATTGTCCAGATCTGCACGTGCAGAGAAAGGCTGCTTGGCCTCCATGCACTTATAAGCCTATTCTCCTTCCCTGACAGCACAGGCCTATCAAAACCACACAGATTTATGGCTCTTCCAGGCTTGGTGGCTTTTGTGCAGGGAAAATGACAACTGCTGGTTGAGATTTAAGGAGCAAGCCATTTCAAAGACAAACTTCTTCAGAACTCAGGACTTAGTGCCTGGCAGACTCCTTTTGAAACAGGGCTTTACAGGACAGCAAAAGGGAAACAGGAAGTACAGAAGGTGTCATTCATTATTAAGAGAGATGCTAAGTAAAAAAAGCCTCTCATTATATTGAAAACTCATATTTTATACTAGGGCACAGATGCATAGCTGCAAAAGAAGAATTTATGACACACATTTGGCTTATAGCAAGCAGACGAGCAGAGATGCTTACCTGAAGATCTGCTTAGTTAAAAGGTCAGAGTCATGCCAGTAAGATGCCCGTCTTTGTCATGGGCTTTTGTTCCACACTTCAGACTTGACCCTTTTTCTGGTAATAACACCATTAAACCTCTCCAAAGAGGCGTAACTCTGATTGTGGGTGGTACTCCTACTGAGCTCACAGTCAGTTTTAAGGGAGGGAAGAGCCCTCCCGCACACAATAATAGGGAATGGAGGGACCAGAATTATTTAACACTTTTGTCGAGGACATGGACAGTGGGATTGGAGGCACCCTGCGCAAGACTGTTGATGACACTAAGCTAAGTAATGTAGTTGACACCCTAGAGGGAAGGGAGGTTATCCAGATGGACCTTGACAGACTTCAGAGGTGGGCCTGCGTGAATACCATGAAGTTCAGCAAGGCCAAGTGCAAGATCCTGCACCTGGGTCAGGGCAATCCCAAACTTCAATACAGGCTGGGGGATGAATGGATTGAAAGCAGCCCTGTGGAGAAGAACTTATGAGTATTGGTAGATGAAAAACTGAATATGAGCCAGCAATGTGTGCTCACAGCCTAGAAAGCCAATTGTATCCTGGTCTGCATCAAAAAAAGTGCAACCAGCAGGTCAAGAGAGGTGATTCTCCCCCTGTGCTCCACTTTTGTGAGACCCCATCTGGAGTACTGCATCCAGCTCTGGAGTGCCCCGTGTAAGAGTAAGAAAGACATGGACCTATTGGAGTGGGTCCAGAGGGCCACAAAAATTATCAGGGGGCTGGAGCACCTCTCCTGTGAAGACAGGCTGAGAGAGTTGAGCTTGTTTAGCCTGGAGAAGAGAAGGCTCTGGGGGAGACCTTATAGCGCCCTTCCAGTACTTAAAGGGGGCCTGCAGGAAGGATGGGGATGGACTCTTTATCAGGGAGTGTAGGTTTAGACAAGGGCTAAAGGCTTCAAACAGAAGGAGGGCAGATTTGGATTAGATGTGAGGAAGAAACTCTATTGTGAGAGCAGTGACACACTGGAAGATGCTGCCCAGAGAAGCTGTGAATGCCTCCTCCTGGGAAGTGTTCAAGACCGGGCTGGATGGGGCTCTGAGCAACATCATCTAGAGGAAGGTGTCCCTGTCCACGGCGGGTTGGAACTAGATGATTTTTAAGGTTCCTTCCAATCCAAACCATTGATGGTGTCACTGGCACTAAATATCAGCTGAACGCTGAACCTCTCCAGACTGTTGGAACTAGCGACATGCAGTGATCCCAAAAAAGTCTTGAACATAGCACCTGTCCTGTTCAGGCTAGTTCAAGACCGCAGTAATTTCAGATGCTTGCTCTGGAAATGAACTTCCAAGAAGCAAAACTATTCTAGGAGACAAGGTATCATTAAGTTCCTATCCTAAGTACTGTACATGGTATGATTCCTAAAAATACTGTGGAAGAGTAAACTTAAGACCCAAGGATGTCACAAGATGTCTGAGGAGAGAAACGTAAATATACTGCTCCCCTGAGTAAGGTTGAGTACCTGGTTCCACCAGGCTGTTTAGCAGCAACTATTTAAGTGTGGGAGCTGTACAGGAGTTAACAACATGGAAAGAGGAAGGGGAAAAGGGGAACTGTGCCAAAACAGGAAACAGGAACCATGACATCTAGCTATCAGTCAGTTCAGTGTCTCCTTGTCATATGTCAGAGAACAGCAAACATGCAGAGGTTACGCCCACGCCGCTGCATAGCTACCCTGCTTGCATGGGAACGCAGCTTTGCTGTTATTTGAGTCACATTAATAACTCTTGGGAAAGGCTTAATATTCTATGCTAATGTAATTCTTTTTAGGAGCTGTGAACTATGAACCAACACAACGACTGACAGAAGCTGGGTCTCTGCCTATGTGTGTTATTTCTATGCAAGAGAAAAACAAACATGAGTTGCCAGGGTTTCACGGTAAGCAAAGGAAAATCTCAGAAAAAGGATATACAGACTGTCTGCACTTGTCCTGATGACATGTTTTGATTAAAATATTTAATTTCAAACTATTTTTTTTAATGATAAACTTCCCTGCTCCTCAGACGATTACATTTTACAAGAACTAGAAGGTATCCAAATTTTTTGTATTAATTGGCTGCTGCGAAATAAAGTGTGCATCAAATCAAATACTGTTTTAAAACTAGTTCCTTTATTTAAGAAATATCTGTAATTTCATGAACAAACCAATTTATGTACGATATTTATCAAAATTAAAGAATGACTCAATAATTTTCCTAAACACACTGATCATTTCCACTCTTTTTAACAGAAAAAAATGAGCATTTGTGCTGCTTTATAAGCCCCCATTTCTCAGCTTTGAAGGAACTGGACTTTGAAAGAAAAAAAAAAAAGTTTGGTGCAGCTGAAGGACTTTGTGACTTTTACTTGCTAACTTTTTTTTTTAGAGAAAAGCATTGACAGCAAAAGCTTACTTAGTTAATTTATTCAGCACTGTTTTCAACATAATAAGCAAAAGCTTCAAATTAAGGTAAACGTGTATTAAGAACATACCTGAAAAGAACACTTAAAGAAAATGTAAAAAGCAACTTTAAAATAAATTGTCAGAAAAGAGACCGGTGGTTTGAGATAGACATATCACAGTTCATGCGAAAAAAACACAAATGGTAAAACCACCTGGGCTTTTCTACTTCTCCATAAGATCTTATATTTTTTAAACATTTGAGACATTAACTGGGAGAGACTATCCCAATGCTGTACAAACATTACTCACAGAAGGGAAAATTAATTTTTAAAAACTTAACTTTCTTCTTCAAAGCTCTTCAGGGGTTCTGTTTACTTTGAGACATACCCACTTTAAGCTGTGATTCCATAGGCAGCTTAAGCAAATTAAAAATCAAACATCTTTCTGGATATACCTATGGTGCTGCTGTTTGCTGAAGTGGCCAGAGTTGGTTATTTTACTCTTGTTTTTTTGACTGGAGGAACGAGACTGCAGCAAGGCGAGGGAGCTGATGGCTCATTAGGGCTGAGAGGAAGGCTGGCTGGGAAGGTGCTAACCAGGGCAGAGCAGGAGGCAGCCCCGGCGCCATCTCCAGCCAAACCCCTCAGCCGCAGCCTCCACTGGAGAGCTTGCCCCAGGCGCGCTGCCCGTGTACCCAGACGCTGTCTGGAAGTGAGGCTCACTGCTTTGCCCAGTTAGCTTTCTTGGCCTCCAGCACCAATGGTCTCCATGTATGATGTTTTCTGGGTGCCTCTGTATTGGGTTAGCTACAAACCCACAGGCTTTGCAGTAAATAGAAAATACAGAGTTCACCCGAATTCTGCCCTTAATTACTCAGCTTAACCCCACTCACCCCACAGCTTCAGGCTGGCTCCCACCTTAGCCACCGCCTGTTTCAATGAAGCTGTTAATCCTCCAGAGAAAAGGCAGGGTAGAGCTTTGAGAAGCATTACATCTGCACTACTTTCTCTGCTTAAGGAGAAGACTGCTTGTTTGTGCTACCATGCCTCTCAAGCGGAAACAGATGAGGAGCACACATCTTCCTCCCTGTGAAGTGTCATATCTGTGGCATGTGGCTTGCAGTGATCGAGCGACTGCTTCAGAAAAGATGTCCTGCTCTGTTTATTAGAAGAGTGACAAGCATAGCTACAATACCAGTAGACGAGGACTTAATTCTAAGAGCTCAATTCCAGGCCTACACGAACGTCTTAGCACAGAGCTACTAGTGGTTAATGTGTGAGTAATACACAGAAACACTGAAAATGCAACAGCAAGTTACAATGAAAAATTGCAGTAAAATATCTATACAGATATATGCATTGCATCTGAATTATACTACATCCACTTTTGTGGTTGTTCCACCCTAAAAAAATAGGCACCACAGGCTTTCCTTTAAACCACTTATATTTCTTCTTTGTTGTTATTGGAGCAGAACTGTGACAACTTTTTATTGGCCTTGCTATTATAAACCCTATTTCTGAGAGAGTGGATAGTTCATCTCTTAGTCTTCAACAGGATTAAAAACAGCGTGTAGTTTCAGGCTACAAAAATCCTTTTGGTTAAGGGAAAAAATAGGTTGATTCAGTTGGATTTCAGCTCAGTTCAAAAAGCCCTGATTTCTCCTCTTTTCTTTAGCTTTAGATGCATTTCATGTTACCATGAGGCTCAGGACCATTAGATGAACATATGTAAGCTTATGTTACCCCAGGACATAGCCATGCATGCCTACACGCGGAGAACAAAGCTAATCACAACCCCTTTCACCCAGCTACTATAGAGGTAGGATGACTAATACAGTGGTCACGCTCTTTACTTAGAAATAAGAACACACTAAACATTCTTCCACAAAGATTTGAGACATTTTTAACGTTTTCTTCCCCTTTTTTACCAGAACAAATAACTGTACTGACTTACAATCGCAGCTGCAACCCAACCAGAGGTACCAAGCAGCTGAGTTCTGAGATAGAATCAGAAAGGCAGTAACTGGTGTATTTACAAAACTGCAAATAGGCAGGGCAGCTGGCTGAAGCCTTGGGAAATAACAAAACAAAGACTCCAAGCAGCTTATGACTGGAGAGACAAAACTCCCTCCCATATTTAGAAATGAAGAAAAGTCCGCTTACCTGAGACATCCTTTCACGATGCTTAGCTTCAAGTCTCTCCTTGGCTTTCTGGAAGTGGGCATGTTCATTCTCATCCCCAGGGGTCTCCAGGTATTTGTCAACAGCATCGGGAGTGCTAGCAGCTGTGGTAGGGACTGAGGTAAAATTTTGAGAAGGGGTAGAGGGATGGGAGGGGGAAGAAAAGCAGAATTTCTACATTAGTACAGGTAAAATTCAGCTGGACCAAGCAAGAAACATCTGTTCTAATTTCCATCAGAATAGAGCCATTCATTTAATCTCACAGGAAGCTATAAGAAAAGTGGTTTAGGTGGATGTATGAGACACACAGAAAATACATATAAAATATACAAGGATTTCCCCTGTTCCTTATTTTCTAATCCAGGAGAAACAATTTGGTGTGAGCAAAGCAACGTTATTCAAACAGGTTTGAAACTGCTGTCAAAGGAAAAAAAGCCTGGCAAGGACTGAAGCACATAAACCAGCAGAAAGCCCTTTGCAAAGTTACATGTTTTGTATATTAGTTTATTTTTAAAAGGTAAGCTGTAATACATGAATGTCAGTGCAAATAAGCTTTAAAGCACCTATGGACCCAATGGTACCCCGATGAAATACCTCAAATCCTTCCCTTAGGGACAGTCTGGTCTCATAGATATTTTCTTTACGTGTAGCAACTTTGATTAAGAAAACCCCTCATGGGTGCAGGAAATGAACAGCAAGCATGCAGTAATTGGCAGTCATTCCTGTCGGATAAGGAGGCAATACCTACCACGTGGTAGAAGGAAGATTTGCATTTGGGATAATTTAAGTAGAGTGAGCAACAGTTCCTTCACTATGCAGTTACATCCAACAACCTCTACATTAACTAGGGTAACATTTCTGTGCTAGGGACATGACAGCAATTAAAAAAAGCTCTCCAATGATGATCAACTACTTAATTTCAATTATATTGTCACTAAATATTTTAATATATAATTAGGTTTATTTCCCTCGTCACATTTAGTTCAACAGTTGCAAAGCTACTTTAAAAACTCTGACAAACAAAGACTGTACACATAGTTGAGCAGGATTTTTTTTTTAATAAGTTAACTATAGTTGAGTTCATTTACACAGACAATACATTTTCAGTAGGCAGACTAATACAGGCAGGAAAAAGCCCAGGATCCTCCCACATCCCAAACATTTTTCAATGTCTTTAACAGAAGCAAACTTTAATTTGAAGATCATGCTGAGTAATAGCCACCAATATTTATTTATTATTACTTTCTCCAAAGCAAGTTGAAATATAAACACAACTGCATTAAATTATTTTTAAAAAATCTTAAGTACAACATCTTAGTTCCAATGAAACACATCCTCAAATTTTAAGAAAAACTTAAACCAAAATCCAAACACTTCCTCCAGTTTTACCTTAGATGTATAACCCCAAAAGCAAACAAAAAAACAACCCCCAAAACATGCTGAAAACCTTTGGTTTTGGCTTCATTTGAGATGTCTCTACATGGTCTTTGCAATAGGCATGAATAGTTTTGGATGCTGGTATAACTGCACAATGATTTTAAGTTACTGACTGGACGAAAGGACAGGCCCTGCTTGTCTCAAAACAATTATCACTCCTCCCACTATTTTTAGATTTGTTTCATAAATATTTAATTACAAGTTTACATTTTGTAATCTTGTAAACTTTGTTACTCTAGTGTTGTAACAGAGACAAATCAGCTTCCTGACAAGCCACAAAAATCACAAAAATAGAATGCAACTTAGTATTTTCAGTGGTTACTTGTACAACTTCAGACAACTTAGTCTCTAATACTGTTACAAATGTATAAACATTTTCTTTCTTTTTAAATTCTTACTGATAACAACCCATCTTAAATGATAATGTGGTTTGCTGCAATGATAATGTGGTACAGCCAGCATAAAGCTCAGACTGAGTGAAAACATTTCTATAATGCTCAGAAGGATTTTTAAATATCTTTGCCTTTTAATCTCTCAAGCACCAAATTAATTTAATCTTTATCTTTCCTGAAGCTGCAGTTAAGTATAGTACATTTTAATGCCATTTAGGAAATGAAAAGAAAATTCCGTTTCAAAGCAGGAAGACATTTAAGAGTATCAGACCACGCAAAGGCCTTCCCTTCAGGGCTCCTGGTTCAGGGAGGAACCTGGCAGGGGTTCATCAAACACCCCCAGGAAAAAGCACTGAATACTCTTTTACAACGTTTAACTAAACTTGCTGGATTTTCATTCCATGGCTCTAATTTTATTTTTTTTTCCTAAAAAAAAACTTGGATGAGATTTAACATTCCCAGTGTGGTGCGGCAATGAGTCCCAGGGTTTAATCCGGCTCTGCCTGTAAGAGGATTCCCCTCTGCCTCCCCCTCCTCTCGCTGCCTCGCCAGGACGCAGCGAGGTTTAGCACAGGAAGAGCAGATGAGGGAGAGCTTTGGTGCAATTGTCATCCTCCTCCATCTCTTACAGATTTTATTTTTTTTTAACTTATGTCTGCACAAATCTGAGTGCATAAGAAGTGCCTATCTAAATAACTGTCCAGTAAATCATGCAAATTCAACCTTTCACTTACTGAACAGTAAAAAAGGGCACCAACATTTGCACTGAGATCAGTTAAGGCACCTGTACATTCAAAGGGATTTTGAAAAGCTCTCGCCTCACACGGGCACCCTTTGCAGCCCAGATTTTTGGACAATACACTTACTTCTTACTGGCTGTCCCTGACAAGTTCCTAAAGAGAAAAGAGGGCTCAGAAATGGGCCTGTGGGCTGAGGGGAGCTTGGGAGACCTGTTTCATGGGAAGAAGCTCCATCCACCAGGGAGCAGACTGCCAATTTGACTTGGAAAATCTCTATTGAGAAAAGATTTCTGGTAACAGCTTTATCGGAAAGAAGCAGTTGAGGTCTGATGGTTGGAAACCAAAGCTAAGCAGAAATAAGGCTGGAAATCCAGATGGGAAATAAGACACCCACTTTCAGCATTAAGTGCAATTAAGTATGAGAACAACTTATGCAAAGATACACCAATCCGCCCAAAAGCATCCTTGAAAACATCCTGTTTCAACATCTCCTTCCAAAACCCAGCCAATGAACAGGCACGAAAGCAAGGGGTAAATTGGGTGTTTTTTCCTTCCTTGCTCGCTGCTGGCACCAGTCCATAGCCAGCACACGCCAGAGGAGCTCCTGCAAAGCCAGGCATAAGGACTCAGTCTGCCCACTGCTCCTGCAATGTTTATTTGGCCACTGGTGGCTGCAGAGACCAAGCAACCCACCAAGACTGACCACATCCTCGCTCCACAAACAGACCTTGTTTAAACTCTTAAAAAATGGGGATAATTTTCACTAAAAAGAAACTCAGCATGTATGTTTAGGAAAACACTAAAATGTGACATGGTCATTGACATTTTTGTTTTCTGTTATAACCGTGATTCAGAAGCAGTCTTTTAATGACTGGTTAGCTACTAATGTAATTTGAAATCAGAAACGTTTCTCTGACAAAGAATAACTAGCCTGCTTAAAAACAAATAACCCTACAAGGTTTTACTCCCTGTGTTTGCAAAGCCTGCAAATGACTATGTGACAACTTCTCCATTCAGTAATAAGGAGTCATGATTATCAACAGTACGTTAAAGACCTTTTGCGATTCCATCGTAAGGATAACCAACAGCCTTAGCCTCCCCCTAGCAAAATAAAGAGCTACAGAAACACCAGGCCTCCCTTCTACATAAACAGAAGAAACATTTTAAAATTTCTTAATGTTTCAGAACCTATCCTTTGTACTGCAGTACTTTTGGGATCTTTGTTTGTAGAGAAGTATGGCATGTTTTCTCAAAGTAAATTTGGAACATTTGGTCAGGTATCAGTTATATGTAAGGTTTCCTTAAAAATCTGCAGCCTGATCTCATTTTTTGGCCACATCTGCTCTCAGAGGGAGGTTTGATTTTCTATGCATCACTTGTTTCATAAGGTAACTCATTGTACTACTGCATGAAGGCTGATTAAAAAGAGTGTGTTAAGAGGTGTGTAAGAAATGCAGTATCAGATGACATTTTCTTCACACTTGCACTTGTTTTACCTGTCAATTCCCAAACAGATCTTTTAAAAAAAAAAAAAAAAAAAAATTAGACTTTTAAATCCTAACCCTCCTGGAGTCACAGGTTCAATAATATACCCAAATTATAATCTAGACATTTTGTTATTTTGTAATAATTTTCATATATCAGAAGACTGTGGGGGAGAAAAAAAGTAAGAAAAATTCAACACTATGCCCCCAGATCCTGTTTTACTGCTTTGCATAAAAATAAACTGTCTGTCTCAGCCTCTCCAGTGAAAGGAAATAGAGTTGCTGACCAATCTCATATGAAGTGAAAGGATTAGATGTCCCTTCTCTGGATGACATCGGCTGTTGCATGTAAGATGGGAAACCACTTGAAATGAGAGCATTACCCAACTACAATGTAGTATTCAGTGGATGCCTCTGAATTCCACATATGCAACTGCCTCATTAATGAAGGATTAAGATCAAGGCTTCCAGTTGTTGACTAAGATCACAACTAATTATAGCACTTCTGACAATCACAAGTGCATACAGAGTATCTTTAGCATGAAGGGTTTCTATTATTGCTACTGCTACCTTGTGAAATCAGTTTTGTTTTACAAGATGGTATCCCTATTCTTTTGTGAATAAGCTATCCACCCCATTTACAGCAGAGTGGCAAAACCAAAGAACAGAATCTAACCAATAAGGAAGGAAAATAATTATTACCTTTTTATTACAAACCAGACAAACTACCTGCTGAATAACACAATAAAAATGAAGGCTGGGAAAGATTTACCTAAGATCGCAGCAAATCATTATTTTAAACGTAGGGAGAAGGATGTACCAGGATGAGTTTTTACATAAGAAGTCATTATGTTTAATATTATTTAATTACTTGGAGAAAATGGAAGCATACCAGTTGGGCACACCTAGCAGTGGTCAATACTGGGCCATGGAACAGTAAGTGTATTTGCATATGTTGTGGTTTGAGGCTTGGAATGGGGGTGTGACTTTCCAGCACCTGCGAGGACCCCGGGTGGGGATGAAACCATTGTATTCCCTCCCCTTCCCACACACACTCTGACAA